CCTTCGTGGAAGTGATCCGTGGATGATCATGTCATTACCTCTGGCGGGGTAACCTGCACATGCATCAAGAGTCGCTCCACGGCAACGTCTTTGGTGAACCTAGTGCCTTCAGATGCCTGTCGAGACAGAAAAGGAGCCCGAGCGCTTCATCCATACTCACACATCAGGGCCTGATCCTACAATATCCGTAACAACATCGTCCCAATATGGCCGTCAGGCCAGCTTTGGTTTCCAACAACATTATTGAGCAGGGCATGTTCTCGGCCTGCCTGGTCTTTTCACTATTCGCGGTCAACTTCTTTTCCTCCGTCTTCTCACTCATCTTGCAAGTCCTTCTCCTTGTTACCCGCTTGCCCCTCATCTTCATTACCATCGCCGCCTACGGGATACTACTGCAATGGTTCCCAAGTGGCTCCGTTGTTAAGAAGCTTGCTTTATTCATACTGATGGGTATCTCCGGCACGTGGTGGACGGACCTACAAATCGATGGCGTTAGACGTGGCTCGGTAGCCCAACAGCCATCCTGGCGCCTGCCTCAAGGCGGCTCCGTCATCGTGTCATCGGCAACTTCTCCTATCGACGCTGTGTACCTTGCGGCGGCCTTCGATCCTATCTTTACTACATCCTGTCCTGGGACGCGCAAAGTGCGCCGGCTGGGTTTGCTTCAGGCAATCCTACGCGGGTTTCGACGAATCGGGGACAATCCTCTTGGAGACGCTGCCCTTGGGGAGCTGGAGACCTTGCTTGTGGAACACCCAGCGCGAGTCATTGTGGTGTTCCTGGACTGCCCAAAGACGAACAACAAGGGCCTATTGCCCCGCTTATCAAGCCTAGTCGCCGTTCCCCTTCCACAAATGCCTTCCGAGTCAGCATCCGGTACACGCCGCCGGACGTGACAACACCGGACCATGGCGGGTGCCTGGCAATCCTCTGGAACGTGCTCTCCAGTCCTCTGCACCTTATCCGAGTGCATATCGCCGACGACGTGAATGTCCACACCGCTTTGTCACAGTCACACAAGACGAACAGCGAGCCTGCCAATTTGGTAGCGCGGCACAACGGAGATGGTCCGAACCGGAGTTCAAGGTCGAGGGTGACACGCCGACGCACAACTAAACGGCCGCTCAGGGTTCTCGGCGTCATTAAAGAATGAGTACAGCAAACAGGCATCAGCCTTGGGTGGTCAGCAAAGGTCGCGGCAGTGGAGGCGACGGGGATGGATTATTAAGCCCCGAGCAACATGAATGTAGGCAGCGCCCGTGGTTGGTACAGATGTAGTTCAACAGAAGAGGATAAAAGAAAGAGACGATGCATGGATGGCCAGAAGGCTTCACTGACCATCATTCAGGCCGGTAGTGACCGTCACTCCCAGGGGCAAGTTGGGGTAAGCCCATAGTCAAGGGTGGGTTGGGTAAACCCCTGTCGGGTCGAGTGACGGTCATTACCATGACAGTCATTACCACACGGGGTCCGGGGCGCGGCTGGACCCCTAGTCGTGTCTGAACCCCAACCTCAACCCTCAGTCAACCCTGCGCTGTGCCGTGTCTCCTCCCCTCTCATTAAATGACCCATGATACATACCGCGGCCTGGACGGGCTCGCAACCTGTACGGCGAGGGCCGTCATAATTGCTAGTTATTACGCGTAGAATAGAAAATACACCTCATACATACACTATCTAACCCTTCAATCTGACAGTCCAGTTGTGATCAAAGGACTATCTGGCGATGGCGATACACTTCGAGGCTGACGCTGGTCGTACCGACGGGCAGGTCGGACTGCTGAGCTGGCCTGCCTCTGGCGCCAGTAGTAGCCAGGAGCATCGCGTCCTCCTCTGCGTCTCGTGCAGGGTCGGGCTCCGGCCGGACGACGGCATACGACTACACTTCCTGCGGAAGCACCGACTCAAGGGCGAGGCACTACGCCAAATCAGGGACTACAGCTACGCTGTCGAGCCGATCACGAGCCCGTACACCGTACCAGTGCCAGCCGACGGATCACCGCATATAGAGCAGCTACCGGTATTAGACGGCTTCAGCTGCTCGGACTGCCGCTTCCTAACGACGAGCTGGAAGGTAATCAAGGTCCACCACTCAGAAGCAGGACACGCCCCAGCAACCGGCGGCCGTGGTAGTGACAGCGGTTGGCGCGAGGTACGGCTCCAGAGTCTATCTCCGGGGAGCCATGCCCGGTACTGGGTAGTCAAGGAAGGAACGCGCGGCATAACAGGCTCGGGCACAACTAGCGCGACCTCCTCACAGCCCGCATTACTCGAGCGGGTTACGAGATACGAAGAGAATCTAGCTATGGAGCTGGAGGAGACGCGCCGGACGGTAGACAGCCGGCAGGGAGCCGACTTCGAGTCGACGTGGGTCCGCGAGATGGGCTGGGCAAGGCACCTAGCCGGCAGCGACTTTGGCGAGCACTTCCAAGCAGGTCGGAACGTTCTTACGGCGACGGAGCGCGCTAGGCTACGCTGCGAGGCAGATATCTCCGAGCAGGAGCGCCTCCTCCGGCTCGGGGCCAGTTTTGACCGGCTTATCGTGAGAGGAATCGAACGGACAGGTCAGGTGCCAAAGGAGGTACTCCGGTACCTAGCTAGTGTGGACCCCGACCGCCCGGCCGGTGGCCCGTTCAGGACGGAGAACGGCCGGGACACGAAGGATCGATACCAAGCCTACTGGAAGCGCTACCTCTACTATTGCGTCCGGACTGAGCGACTCGGCCGAGACGAGGCCACGGAGAAGTTTCGGATACGTTTCAACGATGCCCAGTGGGCTGCACTTGAGGAGATTATCCGGCAACTCGACAGTAGCGACACGAGCGTCCAGGATAACGATAGCGACGACGCCTCCCCAGCTTCATCGACCTATATCGGGTCTGAAGAGGCTGCGACTCCAGGGCACGAGGTAGTCGAAGGAGAGGAGGATCCGGCCGAGGACCCGCTAGACGAGCCCGTTATGGCCTTCTGTGTCGAGTCGTTACAGCACAAGGTTGCCGTCCACCTATTCAGCAACCCGCTCCTGCACTTCACGGTCGTGCTCGGGATTAGCAGTAACCGTAAGACCTACGCCTGGCGGCCAGCGACCGAGTTCACGCCTCAGGTAGCTGGGCTCGTCTGGTGTGCCCGTCTGATCCTGCTAGAGTACATATTCGCAGGTTCAGAAGCCCAAGGTTGTCGGCACTGCGACAGACTACTGTCGCAAGTACGACGAACCACAATCGGCGTTGCGACGACGGATCGTCGCAAGGATGGAAACACGATGAAGGACAAAGGATATATAGATGGAGGATCTCCTGGCCAGACAGTCGTTACCTTTGTACTTCAGCGATCAATCTAAGTATCGCCCTTACCCTTCACTTGACCTAGTCACTCAATTGATCCAAGTGTGATATCTCTCCCAAGAGACACGAACGACAACCCCAGAGATCACGACAGTACGGAGTCAGTATTGCGCAGGCGTTACCTACCTTCTCAGAACATAAACCCCAACCGCCCGGTCAGACGGATTGACCCCCGGAGGCCGGATCGTGACACATACATTCTTGGCAAGGGCAATAAGCGAAGGGGGTTTGAATCATGCATCTGAGCTTCGATTTTCTAGTGAATTGAGGCTACCTAAAACTTTTGGTTCTGGGTGCAATAGGTATATGGTTGATCACCTTGCATGCTTCTGAGGTAGTACAGTAGACTTGCGCTCCTTCTAATCATTGACGCTCGGTCGGAACCCCTAACCAGACCTTAAGCCTATATGCGACTCATTCAAGGTATGATCCCTCATCGAGGTCTATTGCGCCGAGCCCATTGCAAGATTTACAGCGTTGATTGAAAACAACAGCGTTGTATCCGTTCTGGGGGTATTTTCTAATCATTATCGCTACCTTCTTACTATGCCATATTTAGAACAACCAAAAGTTTAGTCAACCTCAATTCACCAGAAAATCGAACCCAAGAGGCATGATTCACCCCCTTGGGTATTGGCTCTACTAGGAGTGTACGATCTCCTTACAAAGGTTAAGTTCTGTCGACTAACCAATAGTAGATGCATAGTAGCCGCTAGCCCACTATCCCCGCATTATCGTGCAGGTAACTACAGGGAGGTCGCAAAAATAACGCAAAACGCCAAATCCGGCCCGCACCACCACACCACATGCACCAGCTTCACTTATTAGTATTGAAGCCATTTCGACAGCTATTATGGTGGCAAGTAGTGCATTCTGTAGTGATTCAAATGCTGTATCTGATGACGGAATCAATATTTGGTGTACCAGCCGTCTGAGGCTATCACCGCGGCTAGTCGTTTCGGCATACTGTCGATGACGCGGTTAACAAGCTCAACCTTTATCTGCTCCCAGGCAGCCATTGCGACTGTTTCAAGGTAATCCAATGAAGCCTTACACTTCGTCATATATGCCATTTGAGGGTCGGCCTTGTAGATGCGGTCTTTGAGGAACTACCAAAGGTTTTCAATAGGGTTGAGATCTGGGCTGTATGGCGGCCATTCAAGCACCTCGATCCCAGAGCTATCGAGCCATTCCTTCACCACTTTGGCTGTATGAACAGGCGCATTATCGTGCATGAAGATAGTATCGTAATCAAGCATCGTCGGCAAGTATTCTTCAATATGGTCCTTATAAACTGCGCCCGTCACACCGCCTTTCTTGGCGTCGGGGTCTCCTGGGAGGACGACAAGTGGCCCCCGGTTTCCGTACCGAATCCCGCCCCAGAACATAAGGGAATGCCGCGTTTTCTTTGTCTTGCCTTGTACATATTTGGGATCTATTGCTTTTGAGCCTGGAACGGATTAAAATGGTTAGTTGTGGACTAAGTTATCGTGGTTTAAAGGTAGGTGTGATTTACAGACCTCTTGGCCGCCAAACCCACTTCTAACTCTGCCCATCTCCGCGCTGAACAGAGCACTCATCACTCCATAGAATGCGACGAAACCACGTAGGCGGCTTATCACGATGCTTCTGCGCGAATTGGAGTCTTTTTTGAGCATGGTCTTCTGTTAGAAAGGGGCGCTGTGCAGCCTTACGGTGCATAATTTCGTCCGCCTTGAGGTACCGCCTTATAGTGTCGATAGAAACATGAGGAGTGACCCGTTTCTTAAGCTCTCTGATTGAGATGAAAGCGTCATTATTGATTGCATCCTTGAGGTGCCTTTTGTCGTGTGAAGTAAGAAGGCTAGGGCGCCCTCGACCGCGAGGAGATACACCCCAATCTTGCGTCGTGAACCGTCTTTTAATGCCATACACAAGGCTCACAGGAATCCCCTCTTCCTCGGCGATTAGTGCAGCTTTTTTGCCCGCCGAAAATGCTGCCCAGACGCGATTCCTCGTACGAGGCGTGGAATGCTTTTTGTATGGCTTTAACGGTCGTTGTGGTGTCGCCATCGTCGATTGAAGCTGGTAGTACTGTAGGTGATGCAAGGTGCAGATGCGTGTCTGGTGCGCGTTGTGGAGAAAATTCGCGTTATTTTTGCGCCCCCACTGTAGCGCTGAATACCCTAGCCTTTGTCATTGGTTAGGGGACCACCGCAGCGCCCAATTAAGACTTTGTTCTGCCAGAAATAGCGACGTTCCTCCCACAGGGATACTCTGGCCTGGACACGCCCTATTGTGAACCTTCGACCATCACTAAGCCGTCCCTCTCTCTCCAGCCCTCTTCCTCCAAGGAAAGGTTTGAACTATTTTACTAAACTCGGTCGCTGTTCCCAACCTGAGGCTCAGGCTGAACTCCACCCGGACATCTTGTCCTGCCCCTGCGAGAGGACGTCACCAACTGCTGGGGATCTGGGCATTGTCGGAGTGAGGCGCATGAGATAGGAGGTTGTTATTTGTGGAGAATAGTATTCTCAAGTTGGGACGAAGAAGGAGCTTAGCGCTCTACAGGCGGCGCAAAATGAGGAAGGCGCTGGAGCGCGCGACATGGGTAGAATGAGCTACAGTATGGCATTTCGGCGACCCTAGGAACTTAAAATCGGGTTGAGACTGTCGGATGGCGCGTGACCTGACTGTTGGTGATATGATGTGATTGCTTGTGGTGGAGCTTTCAATACTTGGCCAATTGGAACAATGCCTGCTAGTGCTGTTACTTGTTGGTTTGGGGGCCCTCGTCATCTTCTCCACCATTATCAACGGAATGCACTGTGATAGGGGAATCCTGAGGTCGTACCAAACCAAGAGACACGGGTAATCATCAATGGCGAGGCTTGCACCTATATATGGAAGTCACTCCTTCCAGCTAATTTGTTTTAGGAAGTTCTTTCAATTTACACAGCTACAGCATGCATGAGGTTCTATGCGCATACCACTGTGTCCGGATACGGCTCACGTTCGATTGGTCTAGTGTAACATACCCCTTCGGTACCTTACTGGGAGCGGGAATATAAATCGTTAGATTCTTCCTAGCATTGCTTCAACATAAAATTCCCACAAAGTCGTTGGAGTTGGTTGGAAATCAATCCGAGAAGATGGACCTGCATCGCTTAACGAAAGATGGAAGACGCCTCTGGTATTTCTTTCGGATCATTCAACAACCGAGCATTGGGAGAGCTGCTGGATCGGGACCTTCAGGTATTTGAGACGTAAGCCCCTTGCGAGAATTGTTACTAATTTACTCAGCCGTGGCTGACCGTCGTCCAATTGACCCGCCTCCAGTCTTGCAGCTGAGAATTTTTGAAGGGGATAACATGGACTATGTACAAGATATTACGCCTATGTATCTTGCGCAATTCTTCGCCTATGCCTCAATAGAAGGAGTTCAGCAAGGTGGTAGACTGCTGATAGCGAAGAAAACTGCAGCTATCCTTGGAACAACAGTTGCTGGTAGCTCTTTCCTAAATCAACCAGAACCAGCTTACTACTTCGTATTTGACGATCTTTCGGTTCAGTTCGAGGGCCAATATTTTCTGAAATTCGACTTATACGAGCAGCAAATGTTAGACATGGACAGAGATGCTCTTTTGGGAGAAAGCGACCATGTAGACATCGAGAGCAATAATTATTTCTCCCACAGACAATCCATATCGTCAGCAGCTTTCTCAGTTGTACCGCCAAAGCGTTTTAAAGGCTTCACATACAGCACTGGCCTTAGTTGGGTCTTGGCTGAGCAAGGCATACGCATCCGTATTCGCAGCGACCTTCGTGCAATGAGAAAAGCTGGTTGTCTCAAGCAGGATCCACTCGCATCAGTGGCCGCCACCGCTTGGTCGAGAACCGATCAGTCGTTCATCACCTCACGACCATCTCTTCCGTCACTAACCGAGGCACTTCAATTTGTTGATGACGGCTGAATGTCCAGCTCCCGGCAGCGTGGCGAGTTAACCTGCATAACCAGTAAGTTCAGCTCATCAGCATTGTCAAGTTATCCTCGCAAATTCTCTGGAGAATGCCTCCCGCAGTGGTGATCAGACATTTTTACGTGAGCTGAGAATGAATGACATGAAGCTGGGATTATGGAAGTTCATCGCTGGTGTAAAGCTCTGCCAAGAACATATGGTCCTGTTCAATAGAATAACAGGCGCCAGACAGCCGCATCCTCTATCCTAACCGATCCGACAGTAGATTTATATCATGTAGTTAAATAACTTACTCAGCCTACCCAATCAGAAGCGCCTTCTTCATCTGGTCTCCAACCTCATACGGCACTGAATCAGTGCTATGGCTGTTTGTGTTTTGAGTATTCTCAAATCACAGAATTTTCCAGGCAGTAGCAGAACATGCTTTGAGGGAAAATTTAAGGTCTCTAAACTCGAAAACTCTTCTGTTGCCAAAACGCTCTAAGGTATGTCCCTTATGGCAGAAACTGCGCTTACGCTAATGATTCTATAGATGAAATGGAGTCAAGAAGAGAGAAAGCCATGTACTATTCTATTTGCAGGACCAGCCACGGATCTCTGGGTTTCAGTGTTCCTCCATAATACTAGTTTCCTTGATGAAGCAATGGCGCAGGAAGGCCTTGGTGCCTTACGTCCACTACGCCCATTTCATGGCTACAGTGGGACCTCCCTCTATAGGACGGTCTCAGACTTCCAGGTTGCACAATTGAGTCTAAGCTGCAGCCTATGACAGATGGGGTCCTTGAATAGCTGGGAGGGATGAGCCTTGAAGACTAGCCTAGTAGTGCACTTTAGAGGCAAAATGTGGCATTGCGGTTCGACATTCCCAGGCAATTACTTAGCCTGAATCCTGTACCTGACTAGTTACAAGGACTCAAGCGAAACATACAGCTGTCCAATGAACCTTGAGCATAACAAATTCTCGATCTATCATCTTGTACACTCTAGGTCCTATTTCCCAGAGCCACTACAGCGGCCACGGAGGAGAAAGTCGTCTATTGGTGCATGGAGATCCTTTGAGAAGGCGCGTGTCTCCTTCCTATAGAGTAATATGGGGCGATTATGGAAGGTTCGCACCACAGCAAGCCTCACACCTCGATCACCCTCGATAATAGAGGCATACACTTGCTGTGCCGACTCTAAAAGTTGGAAATTGCCCAGAGCCCCTTTGCTGCCGCCTTAGACATCTGGAGCTCAAGAGCCTTAAACGATGGATGGGCAAAACTCTACGCGAAGACATCAAGCGAGCTCTTGCAGCTCGTCGATGGTTGTATAAGCAGCAAAGATGATCTTGGGAACGGGTCTACTAAGCCAATCCCGGACACTCTCATCCACAGTACTTACAGATAAAGCGCAGACGAGTGATTTTGTCATACAGAAGTAAGGGAAGCTTAGGAAAGGCCTCAATCAGAAATAGAATTTACTGGTAAATCTAGGGTCATATGAGTCTCCATAGAAAACTGTCTCGCCATCCTTGCTCCAGCGTAGGAAGTATGAAGGAGGATCTAATCGTGCCATCTCACGGCCATCGTCTTGATCTGGAGCCCGACTTCGACCTGGCCAAGGTGAAAGCTGACCTAACCTGTGCTCGAAACGGATTTTCCTTTATCCAGCATCCAGGGAGCAGGCTGTCACCAGAAACTGCGAGTTCTCTTGATGTGGTCACGGATGGCCTCTACAGTTAATGGTTGGTTCCCATTCCTCTATGAGTTAAAACATCTTTGTGGAGGCAGCGTCAAATGTAACTAGCCCCCGCAAAATGGAGTATTCTACAAGCCTGCCTTGAGAACATCATTGTGCAAAGTCGGCGTAATCGCCTTCAGCAAGAGCGATGGGTAAAAATGGTTCCAACACGTTACCTTGGAAGGATTGCGCGCAAGCCTGGTTTCTCACACATGGCGAGAAGTCAAATGTTGTATGACATTCAATATCAAACGCCAAAGTGAACATAAGGAACCCAGAGCGGCCGCCTCGGCTCCGACCCTTGTCTCAATTCAGCGTCCCTGTCCGCTCCCGATGACCGTGACTTTCCGCGTCCGGCATCCTCGACCTCCACCCACTGGTCTCGGAGCGTCCTCATCGCTCGGTGAAGCCCCCGGCTTACGGTTTCATCCCGGATACCCTCATCCCGCAGAAACTCGTACGTCATTCTCGCCATGTCCACACATAACCCGTCATTTACGCTCCAAAGCGTGCCCACTACATGACGGAACCCCGCAAGCTGGCAAGCATTGGCCAGATGGATGCTCTCGTCAACAGACCCCTCATCCAGGATCTGACCAGTCCCGCATGCCGAGAGGTACGCGAGGAATGGCGGCTTCGAGGTAAGGTTCGTCTCCAGGAGGCTCGCCACCGTGAATGGCTTCCGATCCCAATCATCCAGGAGCAGCTGGCTCTCCAGCGGTTCCGTGGGATGCGTGCTGCCGTGGCCAGCAAAGTGGAACATCTTGCAGGCCTCCAAGGCCGAGGCCACGTCGGCCTTGTACGGTCGAGGCCGGGCGTGCGGCAATCCCACCGACTCGCAAACAGCTACTACGGCATCAACCTCGTCGCTTGCATGCTTGAGCGGTTCCTGTTTTGGCGTGTTCTGCATGGCAACGACAACGGCATTTCGGGACTCTCCGGCTTCCGGCGCGTGCTGTGGCCGTCGCCGACTATGTATGATCGCCTTGACGGACGAGGCGTACGATGAGACGACTCTGTCGACCGCCGTCTCGCCGGTGCGCCTTAGATGGTGTCCCGCTGCATGGAGTGGAAACCGGGTCAGTGGGCCGGTGGGGACCCACCACACGTGCGGCCACTGACTGTCCGAAGGAGGTCCAGTAAAGCCTAGAGCATTAAGAATGGGACAGACGATGGCATCCCAGAGCCACCCAAGCGTGTCAAGAGTTCTAAGTTCCCGGACATGGTCGTTGAGCGCCTCTCGGGAGAGGTGTGGCAGCTCCAGCAATCGGATGCCGGACTGCTCAATGACCAAGGCATCGCAGCGATACGAGCTCACGTTCAGGTCGACGATCGGGCCGTGCCGCGCAGCCTCCAGCATATCGGCTTCCGATGCGGAGAGGAGGAATCGCTCAAAACCGGACTTGGAACGGATCGTCTCGAGGAGAGCGGCAAGCCGGGGTCCAGCGTCGCGGCGCCGATCGCCTTCCGTCTCTGCGGCCAGAGTGGGGCGCTCGGCAGCGAGGGAACGAGCCGACGCCGGTGCGTCCAGTTGATCTCGCACGTCGATAAAGGAACGTACCAGGTCGGGATGCTCGCGTTCGAGAGCGGCAAGGTCGGATTGCTCGAAGAGGGCTCCCGCGATGACACCACGACCAGTCTCAAGCAGTTCGATAGCAGCAGCAGGGCCTCTGTTGGCATGCAGAGCAATGGCTGTCGCGTCCGACGAGAGTCCGACAGCCACGGAGAGGAGGTGCCGCTGGTCTGAGTTCTGCAGAGAACGGGGGGTCAATAAAGGAATCAAGTCGATCGTCGTTTTGGCAATGGCGTATGCTTGTCGATCTTGAAGTATAGCTGGGGATGTCAGAAGATGACGGCCGGCTGCGACACGCATGCTCACAGCGGAGGCGGACTGACGCAAGGCAGCGACGAAGCGTTCCTTGCCTTCCTCGAGGTCTGCCATCGCTCCGTTCCGCGAGAACCTGTCGCTTAGACAAATTCCGAGGTTGTTCAGCCATCCAGCCCGGTTCGGATGATCTGACGGGGTGGCATCGATGGCTTCTCGTCCTACTTGGATCGCTTCCTCGAGGTCTGCCATCGCTCCGTTCCGCGAGTATCTAGCGCCTAGACGAACTCCAAGGTTGTTCAAGAACATAGTCCGGTTCGGATGATCTGACGGGGTGCCATCGATGGCTTCTCGTCCTACTCGGATTGCTTCCTCGAGGTCTGCTATCTCTGCAGTCCGCGAGTACCTGTCACTTAGGAGAGGTCCGAGGTTGTTCAAGAATCCTGCCCGATCTCGATTGTCCAGCGGGGTGGCATCGATGGCTTCCCGTGTCACACGAATGGCTCCCTCGAGGTCTGCCATCTCTGCAGTCCGTGAGTATCTACGGCCTAGACGAACTCCAAGGTTGTTCAAGAACATAGTCCGGTTCGGATGATCTGACGGGGTGCCATCGATGGCTTCTCGTCCTACTCGGATCACTTCCTCGACGTCTGCTATCTCTGCAGTCCGCGAGTACCTGTCGCTTAGATGAGTTCCGAGGTTGTTCAAGAACGTAGCCCGGTCCGGATGATCTAGCGGGGCGGCATCGATGATTTCTTGCTCTACTTGGATCGCTTCCTCGAGGTCTGCCATCTCTGCAGTCCGTGAGTATCTACGGCCTAGATGATTTCCGAGGTTGATCAAGAACCCAGCCCGGTTCGGATGATTTAGCGGGGTGCCATCGATGGCTTCCCGTATCATGTGAATGGCTTCCCCGAGGTCTGCCATCTCTGCAGTCCGTGAGTATCTGTCACCTAGATGATTTCCGAGGTTGCTCAACCATCCAGCCCGGTCCGGATGATCTAGTGGGGTGGCCTCGATAGCTTCCCGCGTCAGACAAATAGCCTCCTCGAGGTCTGCCATCGCTCCGGTCCATGAGTATCTATCCCCTAGACGAATTCCGAGGTTGTTCAATAATATAGCCCGGTCCGGATGATCTAGAGGGGCGGCATTGATGGCTTCTTGCCCTACTTGGATCGCTTCCTCGAGATCTGCCATCTTTGTAGTCCGTGAGTATCTGTGGCCTAGAGAACTGGTTGTCCTGGTATTTCGAAGCGGCTCGTTAGTAGTCCGAAGTCTTTGCCAGGGAGGAAACTTGTCACCCACCCTTCGAAGCTTTAAAATCTAGAATAGAATCGGCCCTGGTGTCGAATGAGTGGAAGATTCGACCTCTGCCCTGCCTAGAATCACGCCCGAGCCACGCACCCACATGCGGCGAGCTATCACATTCTTAATTGCCATTCGTAAC